GCACGCAGACTGTGCCGTTACTGCCGCGCACGCAGACTGTGCCGTTACTGCCGACTTACAGTTCAATATACATGTCTAGAATGTAGACAATCTACTGTACTTTAGAATCATTAGGAAGAGACACGTGATGAGTGTGGGAGGGGATTGGATGGGTGAAGATGGAAGTGGGTAAAAATTAAGTGAAAAAATATAACTCAGTACTCACTGCAGTGAGTGACATCCACGAGCCTTCCTGCTGCACCACGAGCCTTCCTGCTGCACCACGAGCCTTCCTGCTGCACCACGAGCCTTCCTGCTGCACCACGAGCCTTCCTGCTGCACCACGAGCCTTCCTACTGCACCACGAGCCTTCCTGCTGCACCACGAGCCTTCCTGCTGCACCACGAGCCTTCCTGCTGCACCACGAGCCTATAACCACGCGTTATCAACCATAAAACTTACCCCGGGTTGTCGAGCAATAACCGCGATCAATATAAAAGTCCACCATTATCTCCACTATCTCCCATGAGCCTCCTTCCGCGTGCTATCTTTTATGTACCGTCGAACCAACGTGCAGAGTGTGTCACCAATTGTACAACATGGCACGTTAACTTTTCCGAAAAAGAATCATGTTATTGCACGGAAGCAAGTTGTTAGTTCGCTGCTTCTTTGTGAATAGAACTGCTTCTCATTTCGTCCTTTAAGCTGACTGAATCAATAACCGAGCTCATGTCCCTAGATTTATACATCTAAACTGGCGATAAATGAGGCAAGTACAAATTTATCGGTAGAATATTTGAAATGCGATAAAAAATGGCCGGATCATTGTCTTATGCATACTTACAAATATAGTCTACGAGCAAGTTAGACATAAGCTGCCAGCGACTCCAGCTCATATTAATGTAATCTTTTTGTATTGTATGTTATCTTGATTGCAGTTGATAACAACTCGCGCGTCTCCGAACACCTCTTATCATTTCAGGTCAGACATTTATGTTATCATTTCAATAAATCCATAGTCGATTATAAGCGCATTCGTCCCCTGCCAGCCGGAACTTTAAAATTGCGTGACGCTCAATCACCTAAATACTTGAAAATCAATAAACTCTGATTCACGCTCTTTTTAATATCGAAAATTAATGGCAGTGTTAGGATAATAAGGTTTCTATAAGATTTTAATTAGTAAACTGTCACACTCTTTTTAATATCGAAAATAAATGACAATGTTTGTATAATAAGGTCCATATGAGATTTTAATTAGTAAACTGCGATATACCTTCTTGCACACGCTGTGAGAATCATTCCTCCGTGGGGTCCCAGAAGGAGGAATGGGTCATTTTGTCCAAATGTCGACACTTCCTGCACGACACAAAGATGCACCCTTTTGCAAGGCCACATTGAGTCAGGATGATACACAAAAAGGTAAAGAGTGCATCAATATTTGGGCAAAGCATCGCTCACTTCTCTGAGTGGAAGGTGAAGGTCGGCTAACTTGAAGTCATCGTTTCGAGTCTCGCCAGTCGAGCTTTGGTTAATGCTTTAGGTCCCGTTAATTCGGCACTGCTTCTCATTAATTCGGCACTGCTTCTCATTAATTCGGCTCTGCTTCTCAATAATTCGGCTCTGCTTCTCAATAATTCGGCTCTGCTTCTCATTAATTCGGCACTGCTTCTCAATAATTCGGCACTGCTTCTCATTAATTCGGCACTGCTTCTCATTAATTCGGCACTGCTTCTCATTAATTCGGCACTGCTTCTCATTAATTCAG